TAGCTCTGAATGTGCCCGACATCTTCCCAAGAGATTTTCATACAAAGTCGTACGGTCCACGATCCGTCGAGTTCCTCGTTGACTTTGACCCGTGCGCTAGGTTCCCGTAGAAACTCGGGCTAAACTGATGTGCTCGATTTTGAAGGCTGTTATGAGGTTATGAGTCAGATACAAATGAATGTCATAGGGTATATCAATAGCGTCTCGATCTATTTAAATAAAAGGTTTGAAGCAATATAAAGCAGTAAGTAATCTCGGTAATGTTCGTTTGCTCTGAACATTACTCTGCAAATCATTTTTTAATTTTTCAACACAATGCATGTTGCGTAAAGTACAAAATTCCCAAATAAACAGACCAGTGAAAGCTGAACTGTGTGAGGTAAAATACTTGTAATAAAATATTGCTACAAGTGTTGATGCACATTGAAACTAGACTTCTGTAAACGTAAAAAAAGAAAGCGCAGTTGAAAACAGCTAATTCAGTGCGAATCAATGCAATTTGTCACAAACTGTTCCGAGATAGCAGGTCTGGACGAAATAATTAATAATCCTAGTATATAATTATTCCAATATGCTGCCGTTGCCTTGAAAATTTTGATGAAAATATGAATAGAACAATGCGGTAGGCCGCATGTGACGCGCTGAGTTAATTCCACAAGGTGGTACACAATAGAAGACTGAGTTTGTCTCCTCCGAAATAAGTTTTGAGTTGACATGCTGCAATGTTTTGTAGCCGTGGGGAGCCTATGACATCACTCGATGCTCACAAATCACACGAACAGGCCAATGGTTAATTTTGTGACCGAGCGCTTCAAGGAAGCAAGCGCAGTGCTGTTGTGGCTGTTGTGCTTGTCTACTCGAAAAATTTTCGAGTTTCCAGTGGAGAGCACTGATCAGCCAAGTCTCAGCCAGTACACCTTTCTGTTTTAATAGAGTGTAGTGGAAACGCATCCGTGCAACTTTCAAAATCCGGTGTTGTTTGCAATTATTGTAATTTCAAGGGTGGTCAGATGATGGCGTTGTTGCCGATAGCTCAGAAATGAGTGTAAGGTCAAGAGTTTCCGATTCAAATTCCGAGATGAAGTGAGGGAGTTACCTGCTCAAATAC